GAGTATGAGTGACTGAAATAGTCAGTAAGTATGAGTGACTGGAAAGAGTCAGTGAGTGAGTGAGCACATGTGTGCTTGGTTGCACACACATGTGAGTGAATGAGTTAGTTTATATGTGAACTTGTGTGTTACATTTTTTCCACACTTTTCAGGACTCACACATCTTACTCAAATTCCTAGCCAACCTTCAGAACACAATGTTCTTCATTTCTGTTACAGCTAAACCATATGCAGGGTGATGAGTATGTATAATATCTAACCGTATTTTGGTACAACAGTAATGCTTGCTTCCGTGGGCTACCTCGCACCTGTTGACTCTGGGAAATATAAGAACAACACAGACTGCAGCTGGATTATTGAGAGGCCACAAGGCTACAGGATCAAACTCACCTGGCTGATGTTCGCTCTGGAGAGGTGCACCGACTGCAAGTGTGATTATGTTGAGATCTGGGACGGCAACACAACCAAGGAACTGATCGGAGGGTAAGTTGCTAGGGTTGTGACTGATATTGTAGGTAAATGAGGCTCTATTTTGATTTCCTTTTCAACTGCGAAATTCAAAGACTGATATTGTAGGTAAATGAGGCTCTATTTTGATTTCCTTTTCAATTGCGAAATTCACGAATTTCCGAGAGTTCAAGCTATTTATAGTTTTTCCACTTCTGAATGCATAATAATAACACAGAGGAAGGGTAATAGAGAAATGAACCAGTTTGAACATTATCTAGGTTTCTGATCATTCAAGATATTTTTCACAGTGCTTTTATTTGAATATCATAATTCACAAGTAAGCAAAATGGCAAACACAAACTTTTATATTTCTTACCTGCTTGCACTGGCTTTGCAATAATCTCTTTACATTATCTGTAAAACATTCTAAAAGTTTCTTTAAGTGGCACTGCCCCTTTGTATACTAAATACTTTGTACACTCATAAGGAAAGTATATCAGTTAATAACATATGAAAATATTTCTGTCTTATCATACATTTCATGAAAAACTGAAATCATCATCGACAAGCAATCATCATTACTTTATTTTTGCTTGCTCCTTACAAAGTTTCTATTGTCCAGGAGAAGGTATTGTGGATACCTGGACCCTCCCACTATGACATCATCAAGTAACAGAGTGGAAATTAAATTCCACAGCAACAGTGCTAGAAACTATGCAGGCTTCAAGATTAAATATGAATCAATAGAAGGTAAGCATGTATCTCTTACACAACTATGTGGTATAACACCTGGCACTGTCCTTTTTTCCAATATAGATATGAAATTATATAATATATATAAAAAACATAAATGTAATTCATACACATTGACACTCTTTGGTTAATGTTAAAATGATTGAAAGTATATTCAATGGGAATGCTTGTTTTCATTTTTCTCCTCATACCAAGTTTTATCAAGAGAATACATATTTTCATCCCAATTTCAAATGAAATCATTATATTTTCAGATTAGGAGGTGTGCAGAAAGTAAGACAGCCACAACTCTCTTTAAATAAAACTTCAACTGAATAATGTAATATTCAAACAAAGTGCTATTACTTGTAAAGATAAATAACAAATAATTTCTTCAGAGAAATGTACTGAAATGTTTGAGAGAACATTATACAACTATATGTCATCAAGTGTGTTTCCCTGATTCCTAAAAAAACAAAGTTGAAAGAATAATAATGCTTGTTGAAATACACAAAGGAAATCTGTCTATCTATATGTATACAGTATATGTGATAATACATATACTGTACACACAAAAAGCTTCTACACACACAGGACAACTAATATACACTCTTCCATACTTAAATGAATTTTCTTTTATTCTTTGCATAACAAAAAATGTCTTTTCTTTTTATACAAGAACTACAATTTACACAGATTTTCTCTCTCTCTAAAAGTGTGTTTCCCTGATTCCTAAAAAACAAAGTTGAAAGAATAATAATGCTTGTTGAAATACACAAAGAAAATCTGTCTATCTATATGTATACAGTATATGTGATAATACATATACTGTACACACAAAAAGCTTCTACACACATATGTAACTGAACAGGACAACTAATATACACTCTTCCATACTTAAATTAATTTTCTTTTATTTTCTGCATAACAAAAATGTCTTCTTTTTAAACAAGAACTACAATTTACACAGATTTTATCTCTCTCTAAAAGAATGGACAACAAACTATTTTATGTGCTTCAGAAGAAAAATAAAAGAATATTCATTTTATGAAAACAATTGCTCCTCAAAAATCTAAATAAAATTCCTTTTACAAAAATCATCAATCTTAATAAAACATTTTTATACTCTATATTTCCTTAAAATGTTAACTTACCTTTTCATGAACAAAGGCACACAGAGAGAGACAATATCAAATCTAGCAATAAATTCCATATTATATTAAAAACAACAAACAGAACTTATAACATTCAAGGCCTTCTACTGCAAGTATTCTTCATATATCACAATGAGACCTGATGAAGACAAAGACTGGCATTTATTTTTAAAGGCTGAATAATACAACATTACTCAAAAATTCCTGTTTCTCCTCCTTCTTCATTGGCCATGTCATTTTCTGTCTGGTCAGGTGACACCATGGGCTGCACCTTAATAGGACCATCAATGGGAAGATCCCAGGGCCTTGGGGTTTTGGGGGGCTTTAAAAGTTCTTTCCGCACGCGGTCCCTCGTTCTGGATGGTCTGGGCTGATAAATCCTAGCTTGTCTCTTGTTTGTGCGGTCTGGGTGACTGCCCTGACGTCTCTTCTCCCATATCTAATATAAATTTTAAAATACAGATATTGATATAACAAAGCCCAGAATGTTTGGCATTTTAAGATACACTACTCATAATAAACAAAAGATCTACAAACTATATATCAGATTAAAAATGTATATCTCTAGTATATCCTAATTTACATAATGAAGGTTTTCATTCTTATGACTTTCAAAATTACTTCAATTCTCAAAATAATTCAATATCAACTTTACATTCTAGTAACACTTACCTTCTTCATAATGAGAGATCTTTTAAGACTTGTGATACCCTGTTTTCTTCTGAATTTACTAACACCAGTTATCAGATTAGTTGGAACATCATCTTCCAAGTGGTAATTCACTCCATCCATCACCTTTGATTGGCTTTCTGTGCCTTCCCATGCAAAATTCTCATCTGTGTGGCCCTCTTTACTCCTTCCTTCAAGCGTTTCTTGGGATTGAACTCTTCCTCTTCCTCTTCCTCTTCCTCTACCTCTTCCACTTTCATTTCCATTTCCACTTCTACTTCCACTGCCATTTCCACTGCCATTTCCCCTTCCCCTTCCACTTCCCCTTCCACTTCTACTTCCACTTCTACTTCTACTTCCTCGTCCTCGTCCTCGTCCTTTGCCTCTGCCTCTTCCCCTTCTGCTCAAAATAACTTGGGCTCCATCAGCAGACTCAAGCTCACTGCACAAATTCAGAAAACAAAATCAAACTCCAACTGTTCAGCACTGGTAGATCTAGAGAATTTTATATACAGGTGACAAGGGGGAAAGGGAGAAAAAAAGTATCTGAAAATTACAAGTTACATATAATGTATCAATTATGGCTGTAATTATATTTTATATGTCAGTTCTGATGATTTGAGTTGATAATTTACAGTTGGGAACAAACCCAGTATAGAGGTATGGAGGACATCTGCTTCATATTTCTTAAAATATCTAAATATTGAAATGATTCTATGAATACTGCCATAAAATTAACGCATTATATTACTGAAGCAAATGAGATACCAAAAATTGATTGCATTAATGTAATTCTTCAAGCATAATTGACAAGCTCTTTATATTTTTCTTCAGAATTTACACCAACACAACTGAAAGTTGCTTTACCTTTACCAAACCATCTAATGACAATATAAAAGAACGAGAATTTTTTTCTCTCTCAAAAGTTGCAGAGGTCCAAATAATCATGAAATTCTCTCTGACACTTGTACGGTTCTTTAATCTTTAATCCTGTATCATTCTTTTAACTTTAATCTTGAATCTATTCTCAGACATTAACTATGATACAACAACAGATTTCTCACTTCAGGTTCAGGCTGCTTAACCCATTGGTCGCAATTTTATGTACTGTGAACCGTAACTTTTTTGTAATTTTTTTCACACAAATGGCTTCACCCAGAGTTAATTAGTAGACTAGCAATTTATTTTTCCATTCTTTGAATTTTTGAGAATATCTCTTTTCTGATGCTATTAATATCAATACTGTCATTATCATCACTGATATTATGATTATGAAAAATTCTTCAAATTAGTAGTAATAATAATGAAAAAAGTCTTTCTAAAAATCACACAAAAGGGTAAAAAGAGGAGATTGATAGGACTAACAGATGACTTGGGAGTAAGCACTAAAGTTACAGTGGACATGGCTTATATGTCATGCCATCTACATCTAAAAAATTAAATGATCACAGTTCTGAGCACTGCTTGCATGCATATCTGTTTTGCATGGTATTCCAGCAACCACCACTTTGCTCACCTTTCAGATACCCAAGAATCAGTTCCTTCCTCTTCTTCCAATGTGAATTTCCCATCCGTTTCTGAAGGGGTTACGTAAACTTTATAGTCCTCCACCGCACAATCCTCTGAGCTGTCTGTGGAAAGCTGCGGCTTCTTCAATCTTTTCTGACATAATTTATCTACTTCTTCCAAGTGGGATATGTATTCCTCCTGTTCCTGGTAAGTATGGAGAAAATAATATTACAAATCTATTACTAAATCATATAAGATTCCATCAACCCAACATTAACAGGAAAATGATAAGTTCCCTTTGGCAATGCTTGGTTAAATGTTTCTGCTTAGGCTTAGCCACAAAGGAGTCAATTAGTACATTTTGCAACTTCACTTTTCCTTGAAAAAGCAGGAAATGCTTTTTTTACACTAAAGCTATCAATATTGACATTTATTTTTGTTATAAACATTATAATTACTATATTGTTACTGACATTACTAACAGCAGTATTAAATACTAGAAAATATTATCGAAAATCAAGGGAAACGGTGAACAGGTGAGACAGGCTGTTCATGTAATTGGCTCATTGGTGACAGTACTTGTGGAGCCATCTATCTGTAAAAACAATTACTAAATTCAACACCCACAATGGGCAATGTCATGTATGTACATGCCATGCCCAGCAGCTTGGGGTTAAAAATGATATTGATAGAAGTGTGTTACTAAGAAGAATAGTGATAACTGGTGCATAAGTACGCACTTATATATGTGTTTGTTTGTGTGGGGAGGGGGATGTTTGTGGGCATATGTAGGTGCGTGTGGATGGGTGTGGGTGTATGGGTGTGTGGGTGTGGTTGTGTGGATGTGGATATGTAGGTATGGATAAGCAAGTGTGGGTCTGCAGATGTGTACATGTGTAGATATGCATGTGTGCATCTGTGTGTATGGATATACATTATATATATGCATATGCACATGAGAATATGCACATGTACATGTACATCTGTTTCTGTGTTTGTGAGCATATACACAGTGTATATGCATATGCACATGCACATGTACATCTGTATCTGTGTTTGTGAGCATATACACAGTGTATATGCATATGCACATGTACATGTACATCTGTAACTGTGTTTGTGAGCATATGCACTGAGTATATGCATATGTACATGTGTATATGGATATGCACATGTGTATATGCACATGTACATGTACATCTGTACCAGTGTTTGTGAGCATATGTGTATGTCACTTACCTGCATATATCTATATACATACAAAAATATAAATAAAAATGTTTGAAATCATCTTACCTCAGTTTCAAGGTCATCTTTGGTTAACAAAAACCTCTTTTTCACTTGTTTTGACTCCTTGGTCTTTGAAATGGCTGTAGTAACCTTCTCCTTAGCTACTTGGGCCTGCTGCACTGGAGGACTGCAAACATGAACATCTATATAACACAATCTTCTCTCAGGTTTATATACTATACAATTTACATGTCAATATAATTTTGGGATACGTATTTACCTGTCTAGTGTTTGGGATATGGTATATCATATATCTGTAACAACTCATACATGTACTAATATTATCCTTTTTACCTATTCATTTCTCAAAATCCTGTTTTTCCTCTTTACATGCAGACCCTTCAAATGCTAGATCTCTATATTTTGACCAAAATTGATAATATAATAATATCATTGGAAATCTAACGACGGATGTGCCACATATGAGACACCCAAAAAAATCAACTGCCAGGCGTCCCGCCAGTGTGCCGCTGCACCGGGGCTCGCGCTCCGACGCAGCACCGGGCTGCAGCCGGCAGGCGGGCAGAGCTGATTTTGTAACCGCCCGGAATCTTTTATTTTCCGCTTCAAAATATACCAGCGTTAATGGGTTAATATTTCTCAAAACCTTTACAGACAGATTTTCCAAAATTTCAATCACCAACATTAACAAACTATAATCATAAATCATTATCAAACTTTAATCATAAACAAAAAACAGTAACCTGTGATAAATACCAATCGCAACAATGTCAAAGGATACACACAAGACATGGTAAGAAGACGCACCAAACCAAAAGAAGTGCTGACACCATACAATATCATTCTGCAAACCCAATGACAGCACAGACTTAAAATGCAAAGCAATAATCACCTGCACTTGCTCATTAAGGCAGGCCAGTAGAACAAAGACAGCATCCTGTGGAAGAGCAAGTCATCCGAGTGTTGACGTGCACTTGCTTCCTCACCGTTCAAAGACCTGGGCAAGAGTAATAATCACCATCATCATAATAGATAGTTATTGACAAATGAAAAAAACAAAAAACAAAAAGCCCATAATAATAATCATAATGATAATAATGATAATAATAATAATAATAATAATAATAATAATAATAATAATAATAATAATAATAATAATAATAATAATAATAATAATAATAATAATAATAATAATAATAATATGAAAGGGAAGAAGAAAAAGAGAAAGAAAAAGGAGATGATGAAAAAGAAAAAAGAAATAAGAAAAAAAGAAAAAGACAAAAAAAGAAAAAGAAAAGGAAAAAGAAAAAGGAAATGAGGAAAAAAAGAAAAAGAAAAGAAAAAAAAGAAAAGGAAAAAGAAGAAAAAGGAAGAGGAAGAGGAAGAGGAAGAGGAAGAGGAAGAGGAAGAGGAAGAGGAAAAAAGAAATAGGAGGAGGAGGAGGAGGAGGAGGAGGAGGAGGAGGAGGAGGAGGAGGAGGAGGAGGAGGAGGAGGAGGAGGAGGAGGAGGGAGGAGGAGGAGGAGAAGGAGGAGGGGAAGGAGGAGGGAAGGAGGAGGGAAGGAGGAGGGGAGGAGGAGGAGGAGGAGGAGGAGAGAGGAGGAGGAGGAGGAGGAGGAGGAGAGGAGGAGGAGAGGAGGAGGAGAAGAAGAAGAAGAAGAAGAAGAAGAAGAAGAAGAAGAAGAAGAAGAAGAAGAAGAAGAAGAAGAAGAAGAAGAAGAAGAAGAAGAAGAAGAAGAAGAACAGATAATAATAACAATTATCAACAGAAAATGGGTAAAAAATGTACTTACCTTTCAGTCTCTACTGGCAATATTATATCCACTGTATTTGCTTTTGTATCCTCTGCAGCAGATTCACTCATGCTAGTGGGAATGGGGTTTCCTCCAATTTTGCCTTAAAATAAAAAAATAATTTTCTGATAATTACTACAAGAAAGATAAATTATATTAACACATTAAGATCTTTTAAAGTTATTATGGCAATCTCACAGTTTCTTGGCTGCTCTAGGTGTAAATATCAAAATCACCATGCAGAATGTGGTTAATAAGGTATATATCTTGTTTCATTCTATACACTCAACTTGCCTGCTTAATCTAGCATCACTGAAAAAAATCTTGTTAGAGAACTCACTGCTCTATCATATCTTAGACAAAATGTTGAAACATCTGTAATCCTATACAATAAATCACTCACCTCGTGAATATGTTGCAACATTTCCTGCAATTTGTTTTCGCAAGTTCTTTCTATTCATCCTTCTGGTTTTAACTGCTGGCTCTGATGTCTTGTTCAATTCCTGAAAGTCAAATAGCCTAATAAATGAGTATGCCCACAGAAGTTGCATTCCTCCATAAGTAGGAGTCCCATAAATATCCCACACTAAACTATAGCACGACTTCAACCAATGTTTTTGTGTTCTACTCTTTCCCTCCTTCTAGTGTATGAATGTATAACAAGTCTTATTAACTTTAATACATAACCATTTGTATATCATTAGAACCACCTCCTCTTCATACTCTCTACTTACTATATATCCTTTATTTCAACCCCTTATTCTACAGTACTAGTATGTGTTAGACACTCCTGTAATATATCTATTACAGTGACATATAGGCTCTCCTTTAAACTCCATTCTATGGGTGTGTCAAAACACATAACCACCTTGGTTTCTAAAACACTCAAATGTTCATTACTTACAATTGTTTGCCCAACATATACTATTTTGACATTTTTTAAAATGTCATGAAAAGTTCACATAACAATCTTTGTGTCACTGAACAATGATTCTGAGTAGTGATAGAGAGAGGATAGGAAAAAAGAAGGGCATAATACATAAATCGGTAGAGCATGGGGGAAAGAAGTCAGTGCAATTGCGCCTTATATGCGGAACTCTTACCTTTGGAAGGAAAAGAACCTTAGCAATTGGTCCACGTCAGACCAATCTGACCTAATCAAGTAAAACTATTAAAAATGCCATGTTACAAGCAAACTATTTGGTAATGGTAATCGTACTAATAACTGCTATTGAACCTTTACTTATAACTTAATAAAGAGAGCAATAAACACTTAGGCCCTATGCTACTGTCCTATAACATTACATTTTTTCTCATGATATAAGATTTCAGCCCTTTCAGTTTCTTATGACTAAAATGCCACATTAAAATTACATTACTCTAATTTTGTTCTTA